TCATTTAAATAAAAACATGCCACTGTAAAGACAATGTTTTGTAACGTCATAGCTTTACAAAAAGCACTTTTCACACAGACTATGTCAATTTATTGCACTTTCCCCCTTTATTAGGTAGGAATTATGACACCCCGTCTCTAGATGAAATGTCTAAGCTTGATGGTTCCTGACTTGAGAAAGGTAAACCCAGAACATGAACGTGGGACCTCAGCCTCCACACACTGGGCATGCTGCACTGGCCACTCAACCAGATCAGCGTTGCTTCCATGCTGTGAAGACAAAGAACAGAACAGGTAAATAGCACTGGTGAGCAGGAAGAAAGAAGGTCCCAACCCATACCACCTTGCTCAAAATGGACTTACATACCCATGTTTCTAGAAAGACCTTACAGCAGAAGCTCTGCAAGCACAAGATGCTACTGGTCCACCACTGGACTATACAAACCCAAAAACAAATGAAACCCTCCAACAAAACAGAGCACACTGTGGCCCACTCAGAAAACCATGGCCCTTCTCATGTAATCACATGGCCATGGATGGCCCAGGGCACAACTTTCACTCCTAATTTCTCAAAGTTTCTGATATCTATAAGCACTGATTGAGAGACTAAGCTGCAGTCTGCCCCAGTAGCCAAACACCCAAAGACCCGTTCAAGGGCTGAAAATACAGACTTAGGTTAAAATGTAAGAAATTTCCAGGTGTGGTCACACTCACCTGCAATTCCATCATTTGAGAGGCTGAGGAGGAGGATCAAGAATTCAAGACCAGCCTGGGCTGTATAGCAGGACAGTGTCTCATAGAAAGATGGATGGGTGGATGGATGGATGGATGGATGGTGGATAGATGGATGGGTGGATGGATGGACAAATGTCCTCATATAAGAGAGACGGATGGATGAATGGATGGATGGGCAGTGATAGGTGGGTGGGATGGATGGAAAAATAGGTGAGTGGAAGGGCAGATTAATGGATGGGTGGATGGGTGGATGGGTGAGTGTGGGGATGGATGGATGGATAAATGAATGGATGGGTGGGTACATTGATGGGTGGATGGGCAGACAAATGGGTAAGTTTTATTTCTAAATCTACCCTAAGAATTCCATTCTACTGTATCTGGCTATGTTCCATAGTCTGGATCATTAGGCAAAGGTGGGGTGGGGCTTTGGCAGCCTGGACACATCAGAGGAGACAGAAGGGAACTGGCCTGCTGCTGTTGCTTCCCAGTCAAACCCTGACTAGAGCGTGAATCCACTTGCCCCTTTCTAGACCCTGAAGGCCCTGTTCCAGTACAAGCCCCAGAACGCTGACGAACTGATGCTCAGTCCCGGTGACTACGTCTTTGTAGACCCCACTCAGCAGGAGGAAGCCAGTGAGGGTTGGGTCATTGGGATCTCACAACGGACTGGCTGCCGGGGCTTCCTGCCGGAGAACTACACAGAAAGAGCCTGTGAGGCCGACACCTGGGTTAGGCACAGGTGAGAGCTGCTTGGTGACTGTCCACTCCTCTCCCTGATCAGGGACTGCCCACAACAGTGAGCACAGTGGTGATGTGCTTCTAGGCTGTCCTGTTATTAGAAAACCCTGCAGTCCCCACAACGCCAGCAGGTGCACAGTAAACATCTTGGCCTCTGCTGATAACCTTCAGGAAATACAGATTAGTTCACATCTGCTCTTCTGAGGTAGGAATGCCCAAACTATTGTGAAATACTTCTGCTTTCTTACCTCACACAGAGGTCTGAGCTGCCCTTGTAGAGGTCTACGAAGCATCAGCGGGCTTCCGTTGCTGTATGGCAAACTGCCACCAATTGAACTGGGCTCCTGCTCGGGGACTCTCGAGACTGTGATCCTAGCACGGCTGTTGCTAGGGCATTGTCCCGGGCTCAGAGCCCTCTCCTATGCTCACGTGGTTGTTGGTAGAATCCATTCCTATAAGCTGTCATACTCCGGATGGCTTGCTTCTTCCTGCTCGGCTGGTAAACCTCTTATTTGAGCCTTTTTAGCATTTTCTCTCCAGGCAAAGGATTTTTCAAAATTACCAAAATTGGGGCAGTTCTTGTTTTGTTTTCTTCGTTTATTGGCTCTTCCCCAATTTGTTGGTCTCCTCTCTCATTTTACTAAAACAATAAGGGGAAAGTGGGCGATAGCTTTAACACTGTGCTTAAGACATCCTGGGCTACATAACCAACTTTATTCCTTACAGCTCTGTTCCCCACAGACTATTTCTTCTTTTTAATTTTATTATTTTTATTTTATGTGTATGTGTGTATTGCCTGCATGTAGGTAAGTGCACCCGTGTCATGCAATGCCCGTGGAGGACAGAAGAGGCTGTCGGATCCCCTGGAACTGGAGTTATGGACAGGTATGTGCACCTGTGCTGTACAGTACCTACAGAAGAGAAAAGAGGGTGTCAGATTCCCTGGAACTGGAGTTAAGGACAGTTGTTAACTGCCATGTGGGTGCTGGGATTCGAACCTGAGTCTTCTGCGAGAACAGCCAGTGTTGTTAACCGCTGAGCCATCTCTCCAGCCCCCCCCCCAGCCCCCGGCTAGACAATTTCACTGAGCATTTTGCCACTGATCACTCCCTCCAGTTTCCTACATCTGTGTTTTTCTCTCATGGGAGTGGTCTGCCATTCTAAGCCCTCATTTCCTTTTCTAAACTATAGAAAGAATCGTTCAATGAAAAAATAAGCCAGCAAAGTCATTAGTAAGCAATCAAACGATAAAATATTTTCAGCTTTAAATAATCATAAAGAGTGCCAGGCATGGCAGTGCATGACTTTAATCCCAGCAGAGGCAGAGGCAGGTGGATCTCTGTGAGTTCAAGGGCAACCTGGTCTACCTAGTGAGTTCCAGGTCATCTGGGGGCTACAGGGAGATCCTGTCTCAAAAATAAATAATCTTAAAGAAATATGAAAAAATATTCAAGATGTGGGTTAAGAGTGTGGCTCAGTGGTAGAGAACTCACCCAGCATGCGAGAGTCCTGGGTCAGACTCTAGCATCACAGAAATCAAAGACAGGAATTGAAGGGATGACTCAGCCGCTGCTCTTGCAGAGAACCCAGGTTAGGTTCCCAGCACCCACCCTGGTTGCACTGGGCAGTGGAAGCAGAAATGGGGAGCTCCTTTTACTAATTCATGTTCTTTAAATTTTGGACACATCTAAATGCATTATTCAAAGTATAAATCAGTTTAAAGAAAATGATATGAGGAAATCAGGACAAAAGAATCAAGAAGTCAGACAGAATCAGGGCTGAGGCTTTACACGTGTGTGCTGTGGGAGCCAGACTTCACACCTTCCTGCCTCCGGTGGAAAAGAAAAGGGTAGGTCTGCCACACAACCGACCCAGCCAGGGGGTCACAGAATCAGACAGACCAATGGCTCAGAGAAGCACCGTTGACCGATGTCCACATCTCTACGGGTGCAGGAAACACATCAGAACACCAGGATGCCGACACCACAGGGGCCTGCAGAGATGGCTGAGCACACCCTCCCATGAGACCTCAGGACAGCCGTGGAGATGGAGGGCTCAACACCACAAAGTTAAGGAAGCATGCGTTTCCTCCAGAGCCCACTGTGGCAGTCAGTTGGTCCAACAACGGTTTGTTGAAGAGCAGGAGAGGAGGCATCAGCCACACCCTAACTGCCACTGGACTCCAGGAGGCTGAGGACCCAGTGGCCCCGCATCCTTCTCTCCCTGTCCAGGACAGGAGATCTCATTGTCACAAAGGAACGACCAGACAGCCCAGATGTTCTAGGACTGCAAGAGCCTGTACAGACCAGCTGTGGACAGTGAATGCACCTGTCACCTGCCTAACTGTCCAGCTTGTGCCCCTTACCTTTCCTGGGGCTGTTCTCTTTAGAGAATAGCTTCTCTCAAGAATTACTAAATATTCACAAAAATTGCGAGAAAAGGCAAGTTCTAAAATTATGTGGGGCACCTGGTAGGCCCCGTGTTGGAAAGACTGCCCTGTGACTGTGGGCCAGGAGGTGCCAGGGGACTGGCTATGGCTTTAAAGCTGCTGAAATTTCTTCTAAATATTTCAAGAGGTTTAAAGGATAAATTCCCTGACACATCTGGATATGTCATGAAAGTGCTAAACGGTGGGAAATGAGGTTAGTTGGCTGTGTCCAAAGCTAGCTGACTGGAGGACAGACAGCTGTACGGACATCTGGAGATAGATGCCTTCCAAGACCACAGCACTCATACTAGGCATGTGCAATATAAGCAGTAAAAGCTGCTGGTATGGCCACACCCAGGGAGAGATCTGTGAACCTCAAGGGGAGAGCCCTTCCTGCTCAGAGGACACCTTCCTGGCTCTGAGCTTGTGCCTCCCATGTGAACACGAAATTTACAGGCCAGCCACCAGAACCCATATAACCACTCCATCCTTTAGACTAGTGGCTACAGGATTCTGAGGACTGCCCCCCAGTCCCACCCAGTGTCCACCCATTACCTAGAAGAGACGGTACCTTACTGGAAGGTGACTGAGTAGATGGGTACACTCCTGAGCTGTGTCAGTTTCTGGCCTCTGGACAGACCATGGATGTAGCCCAACTGTGGATCAGAGAGCTAGGGACTGAGAGAGTCAAGGAGAAGCTGAGGCCATCTTCCAGTCACATGAGGACATCCCCATCACTGAAGGCTTTTCAAGTCCCACAGAGCAAATTTGAGGCAGATAGCTCAGACATCACAAGGGCACTGTTATGGGCTGACACTTATCTCTCCAAAACTCATATGCCAAAGTCCTGATCTCTACTACCTCAAATAGAACATTATTTGGAGCTGGGCCTTTAATTAAGGTAAAATGGGGTCTGATCGTAATCCATTTTCCAACATTACTCTGTTCAAAGCGATGACCATTGAGGACACAGGAAGAAGGCATGATCTGCAAGCCCTAAGAACTGGCCCTGTGACACGTTGACCTTGGACTTCCAGTCTCCAGGGCTGTGAGACAATAAACGTTCTGTCATTGGTGCCACAGCCTGTGTGACAGTAGCCTCAGGACGCTAATGCAGTCACCTTGCGATGATCTTGTCTTTGAAATGCCAGAAACTTAGGCAGCTTCTTAAAGAAAATGATGAATTTAAACACATACATTTCTATGGTATAACTCAACCACCAAGTTACTGTCTCAAGTTAAAGAGAGAAACAGAAACATCAATACACTATGCCCTCCCTCTCTCCTGCTCATCAACACAGTGTGACAGTAGCCTCAGGACGCTAATGCAGTCACCTTGCAATGATCTTGTCTTTGAAATGCCAGAAACTTAGCCAGCTTCTTAAAGAAAATGATGAATTTAAACACATACCTTTCTATGGTATAACTCAACCACCAAGTTACTGTCTCAAGTTATAGAGAAAAACAGAAACATCAATACACTATGCCCTCCCTCTCTCCTGCTCATCAACACACCCATCACTGCTTTGACTGCATTTCATTTGAAAGGCTAGGAGGCGAATTTAACTTCCTCTCTGACTGTAAAGTTCACAGATGGCACTTGAAGATAACACTGCTTTACTGTCTGCAGAGTGAGCCCCAGGCAGGGAACAGGTGCCTGTGCCTTGCCCTGAGGAAGAGGAAACCAAGCAGCATTTCCTGGTTGGGACCCTAGGGCTGTACCTCCTCTGTGCGGCATGCTCTTGGCAAGAGAAACTGTATATGGTTCCGGTGTGTGTCGGTATCCTCTGCCCACCTAGGATCCACTGAGGTCTGTGCTTCAATCTACTGGTGTCTGTAACACGAGAATATATGAATAATGTCCATCTGTCTAGAGGGACTCAGCTAGCAAGAGTTTATAAAGCGAAACAGGACAGGCCACAATGACAGGGGCGGAGGATAGCTTATGGTTAATCGAGAAATGGCATGAACTACGGCAAAACACCACGAAGGTCCCATATGGCCAAGAGCATGGTCACAGGTGCCAGGCGAGGGTTGGGGCTACAGCACAAGGGACCCAGAGCATCTCTAGGTCGGTCTCAGGCTGGAAGTGTGGGAAGCTGTTGCTGTCTCGTGATAATCTCTGGACTTAAAAATGTACGACAGGGAAGCAAAGAGTTCCACACGGGCAATATGAACGAAAGCCACCTCCTGGGCGCTTGTCAACTCCAGAGTCACTTCCAGGTTTTATAAAACTCCAGACAAAACTCTGATGGGATCGTTTGTTGGAACTTCACAGAACGAATGGAATATTTATCTAGATGAATAAATAAGAGAGAGGAGCTGAGACTTTAAAAACAACAGAGTAATGAGATGATGGCTGGAGGTGTAGCAGGTGGTGGGGTGCTTGCCTAGCATGCACGAGGCCCTGGGTTTGATCTGCAGCACCCCATAAAGCCAAGCGTGGTGACACACACCTGCCCTTGGGAAGTGGAGGGAAAGCGAATCAGGCATTCAAAGTCATCCACACTACGAACGAGTTCAAGATCAGCCAGAGCTACATGAGACACGATCGTAAAAAGCAAACAAAAAAAAAGGAGAGAGAGGAGATACTGACCTCACCAATGGTATCATATGTTAATAATCAAAACGGGATTGGCTTGGGGGGAAGAGAAAAAAACATAGCTAGTGGCCAGATCACAGGTATTAGATTGCAGAGGCACTCGCTTAGCATCCTGGGAAATTCATGTCTGAGGACCAGCGCCTCAGAAGCAGGGGGAGAAGAGAGAATGGATCCCGGATCCAATGCTGTTTATTTCCCTCCACATCATTTGCCTAAATCAATGCCTGGCAGAGTCAAGAAATAAATGGAAGAAACACATCTGGCCTGGGGCTGGGAGAGCGCTGGAGGCTCATAAGGCACCGAGGCCTCTCAGGACACTGGGCAGGCCTGTCGTCTCAGGTGCCCAGCCCCTGCTTGACGTTTGTGAGCTCTGTGCATTCAGAATCACAGCGGGCACTTCCGGGCAGGGCCATGTGAGACCGGAGCTTTCCAGGACATGGCTGAGTCCACACTCTGTCCTGCCCCTCGAAAAATGCTGCAACTGTGGCGCAGGATGTCTACGCACACTTGCATCTGAGTCTCAAGTCTCAAGGAAAGAGAGCAAGGCTCAGACAGGGAACATGAACAAAACTCAGAGACCAGACAAAGTGGGGAAGGAGTTCCTGCTCACTGGTCATAAAGAGCCACGGGGTCCCACGCCCCTCAGATCAAAAAGGTTTACAGTTCTGTTTCCCTTTTTTAAGCTTTATTTTATTTTCTTATTTTATGTGTATCTGTGTGTGCCTGAAATGTATACCACATGCATACAGGTGCGCGCAAAGGCCAGAGAGGGTGCCAGAGCCCCCTGGACCACCTTACGTGAGTGCTGGGAACCGAACCTGGGTCCTTCACAGGAACAGCAAGTGCTGTTAATTATTGATCCATTTCTCCAGTCTCCACTTCTGTTTTCTAATTTAAGATCATTGTTAATACTGGTGAGAATGTTATGAGTTAGACAGGCAGCCACAAAGCAAGTAGGAGGAAATTTCTTTTTAAAAAAATCTTATTCATTATTTTTTATTTTATGTATATGAGTGTATTGCCTGCATGTGTGTAAGTGCACCCATGTCATGCAATGCCCAGAGAGGTCAGAAGAGGGCACCAGATCCCCTGGAACTAGAGTTATGGACAGTTTTTGCCACCATGTGGGTACTAGGAATCAAACTTGGGCCCCCTGCAAGAGCAACCAGTGTTCTTAACTGCTGAGCCATCTCTCCAGCCCAGGAAATATCTAAAATGCAAAGTAGCGATCTGTTCCAAGAACTATAGAAAAAGCTTTGGCCAAATGAGTTGCCTCTGAGACTCTGACCTAAGAACTTAGAAAATACTTTCATGACTGGGTCATTTCTAAAAGTAGAGACAGCCAGGTTGGGGAAATAGCTCAGTTGGTAAAGAGCTTGCTATACAAATATGAAAACCCAAGTTTGATGCCCCCCAAAACAAATGTCAAAAAGCCAAGCATAGTAGACCACACTTGTAATCTCAAGACTGGGGAGGCAGAGACACGAGGATCCCTGGAGCTCATTAGCAGGTCAGCCTGGTCTAATCAGCAAGCCCCAGGACAGTGAGCAACCCCGTCTCAGAAAACAAGGTAGATGGTACCTAAGGAACAGCACCAGAGGGTGGCCTCTGGCCCCCACATGTGTTTGTGCATATATGCATTCACATGTACACACACACACACACACACACACCACAAAGAAAAAGTGGAAGCAGCCTACATTGCTGACATTCAGGGAACTATTATTCCAACCAAGGAGTGTGCATGTATTACATTACACAGCTGTTAGACCAATTTCAAATAATTCATAGGCTGGTGTGTCTGGCAGGGACCCTGTATAATGTAGACCCTGTGTCTGGCAGAGACCCTGTATAATGTAGACAGACACATGCCAGCACCACGCCCAGCTCCAGCTCCTCCGCACGCATCCTCCAAAGCCAACCCTTCCCTCACTCTCTGCCCACCTTCTGCCCCACTCTGAACTGACCTCCACCCTCAACACAGTCTCTCCGCTGAGCACCCCACCTCCTGTCCAGTTGCCACCTTCGCTGGCAACGCCCTGGCCTGGTACACACCATCCCTGTGCCTCAGCACAATGCACCGGGGAAACTGTCCCTCATAGTAGGTCCCACTTGCGTGTCTGGTCTACACCTTTCCAGAGGGGACCATCTCCTGTAACTGGGTACCAAGAGGGCTCAGGAAGAGTAGTTTGTGCATTTCCAGCTAGTGTTAGTGCTCAGTTAACATCTCTAAGTAGACTTCAGTGGACAGCTAATCTCTAAGACACCAAATGGACAGGGGCAGAGAGAAACTTCTGAGAACTGGGTCTTGATCAGCACTAGAACACACCTATGAAAACCCACCCTGAGGACCCCACCAGCTCCCATGACTCGGCACCCCTCTGTGAGCTGCCTGTTCCTTGGGAGTGAAGATTCCTTCCCTGGCCTGAAGGCAGCTCAATGGGCCTCATGGATATGGGATATTCTCTCTGTCGGATATTCAGACTTACTTATGATGGCCAAGTTGAACTCCACAGGCTCCCCCTATCATTCCAGGGCAACTTACTCCTTCCTGCTGCTCAGCTGGAAAGCCTGCAGCTGAACTGGGGTATAGCTCAGTGGTCAAGCACTTGCCTAGCATGTGTGAGGCCCAGGATTTTGTTCTCAACACTGCAGATAGGAGGAGGGGAGGAAAAGAGGGGAGGGGGGAAAAGGGGAGGGGAGAAGAACCTGGCATGGGATCCTCACCATCTCCCAGGCTCTGTATCCTGTTCATCAGAAGTTGCTGTTGACTTTAAGTTATAAGGCCACCAAACCTCTTTCTCACACTCAGTCCAAGTGAGAGCCCTACAAGGCCCGCAGTATCTAGCTTCTGTGCCCACAAACACTCTCCTCTGTGCTGTCTCCCTCCCTCCCTCTGATACCTTCTGCTCCAGTCTCTGCTGCTCCCCCAAAGTCTCCAAGAGAGTTGGGCCTCTGCACGTCTGCCTCCTTAGTCTGACCATGCCCCCTACACACCTGTAAGCCCATGCATCCACCTGCTGTGTCTCCTACAGCCCATGGGGAGCTTTTGGGGGACCTCCGCTCACCACCCCTGCATAGCCAGCAGCCTGCCCAGCCAGGCCACCTCTGTCACAATGCAGCTCATGATATACCACCTTCTGTTCAACCCCACAATCTGCTTTTCCTGAAGAAGTGGGCCAGAGTCTAAATGAGGATGGATGGGGGGAGATTGAGTGGCTGGATTGTAGCAGACAAGATTATAGTTACTTTCTTCTTTTTAAATGAGTAGTTAACAGTTTTCCACATTTCTAATAATGATCAGAAACAAAATATCCCCTGTCCCTAATGGAATTAAAACCTGGAGGTGCTGGGGTTGGCACAAAGCAGGAGCAAACATTCTTAGAAATACTCAGTGGTAGGAAGGACTTAGGGGAAACGCAACCCAGAATAGCACAGAGCTTCTGTCCAAGAAACACATGAGTAGCTGTTGGGCCAGGGCTGTGGATTCTTTTTAAGTAGCTTACAGACGTTTCCTTGTATAAAATGACTTCACCCTGGAAGTCACTCACTTTCTGCTCCACGCACATGACCATTGCTCTGGGTTGCTTATTGAGTCTCCTTTTTGACGCCCACCTGTTCCTTCTAAACAGAAAGGAGGCCTTTGGATGCTTCACTCCTTCACACCCCCCAGCCCCCACCCCCAGAGGTGCTTATGCTAGGTTGCTGTGGCTGTTCCTACACACACACATTTGTCCCCAGAGCTCCTGAACGCCTATCCACCCTGTGGCACTTTTACTGATTCATCGTATGGGTCAGGGTTTCCTTGTTACCTGTAAGTCTTCAGGTGGCATTGATTCTTATCACCTGCAAAACGCATCTCCCTCTTTCCACAGCTCTTGAGGGTGTCTGCTCACTGGCCATGGTTCCTACATCTCACCTTCATCCAAATGCATAGCTCTGACTGTGGTAAATCAGAGGATGGCCTGTTAGAGAAACAGGTTCTGTGTTTGCTAGAGAAACCAAACCAGAGAGAGAGAGAGAGAGAGAGAGAGAGACCTGGAGGCAGAATCTGCTCTTCCATGGAAGCCCTAACCTATTCTGTCTTAAGACCTTCACCGTACATGCAGAGGATCATTTATCTCACTCAAGATCTGCTGGTTTCACTATTAATCTCATCTAAGAAGTACCTTGACAGCAACATCGAAAGTAACAGAGCTTGGAGCAGGGCTGCGTGCCTGCAATCCCAGCTACTTGGAAGGCTGAGCTTAGAGGCTTTCCTGAGCCAGGAGTTCAGGGCCAGCCTGGGCAACTTGGTGAGACTGCCATCTCTAAGATAAAGGTTTGATCAACTCCCTGGGTGCTATGGCCTAGGCAGTCACCATTGCTAGAGCGATGAAACAGCCACAAGCTCCGTGCACGCCATGTCCGGAGCGCTCTGCACACGCACCTTTCTTTTGTGATCCTGGTCCTTAACTGAAGACGTTGCCATGGAAATTCTCAAGTGCATCCATGATCGGATGCTATGTTTCCACTGCAACAACACAGAGCATTTCTGTTCTGTTCACGTCCTCTCCTCTGTCCACGCAGGACCTACACCTTCGGTCTCGCCATCAACCTGAACTCCAGGAAGGACGGCGAAGGCAGCGGCAGAAGGAATGGGGATTTCCATCCTCGGCCTGTGTCAAGCAGCGTACAGGCTCTGCAGGTAACTCGACTCCGTTTTATTAAGTAGTGAGCAAAACCACACTTGCAGGTTAACCTTCGTGGGAGACACTAAGGCTCAGCTTTCCTCTATGGGCAATTCTCTCTGCTGCCCAGAGCAGACTTGGACCGGAACACAGACCAGCAAGGGACCCTTCCCAGCAGAGTGGGGGCTCTGGGACCACACCTGCACTGTGCCTTCTGAGCAAAGGGTTCATCAGCCTCCCATAGCTGTGAGCACCCCACCTGCCCACTCCTGGAGGTGTCAGCAGTCCTGACACCGAGATGTGGGGTGAAGAGGCCCAAACTAAGCTGCACAATGCCAGCTTTTCGTCCTAATTTCCTCATTAGTGAGCCCAGTGGCCCAAAGAAGTCACCCACCACACACACATGCGGACACACACACGGACACACACACACCACACACACACACACACGGACACGGACACACACACCACACACACACACACGCACATGGACACACACCATACACACACGGACACACACACACACACGGACACACACGGACACACACACACACGCACACACACACACGCACACACACACATGCGGACACACACACACACGGACACACACCATACACACATGGACACACACACACACAGACACGGACACACACACGGACACACACCACACACACACACACCATACACACACACACACGGACACGGACACACACACAGACACACACACGGACACACACGCCACACACACACACACACACGGACACACACACACCACACACACGGACACACACACACCACACACACATGCACACACACGGACACGGACACGGACACACACACCACACACACACACGGACACACACACCACACACACGGACACACACCATACACACACGGACACACACACGGACACGGACACACACACCACACACACACACACGCACACACACACACATGGACACACACCATACACACACGGACACACACACACACACAGACACGGACACAGACACAGACACACACACGGACACACACCACACACACGGACACACACCATACACACACACACACGGACACGGACACACACACAGACACACACACGGACACACACACATGGACACACACACAGACATGGACACACACACACACGGACACACACACACCACACACACGGACACACACACCACATACACACACGTGCGCACACACACACACACACGGACACACACCATACACACATGGACACACACACACGGACACGGACACACACACATACACACACGGACACACACACCATACACACACACACAGACACACACATGGACGGGCACACACGGACACACAAGGACACACACACGGACACACACACGGACACACACACACCACACACGGACATGGACACACACACCACATACACACACGTGCGCACACACACACACACATGGACACACACCATACACACATGGACACACACACACGGACACACACACACCACACACACGGACACACACACCATACACACACACACAGACACACACATGGACGGGCACACACGGACACACATACGGACACACACACGGACACACACACACACACACACACACTCTGGTACTGTGTCAACCTCCCACTTTTCAGGTAAGATGGGCTGGTTAAGACACCTCTACTGGACCTCGGGACGGTGTCAGAGACCAAAGGGACGCATTAAGCCCCGCCACCCACGTAGGTACAACAGAAGCACAGGCTGCAGCGAGAGACCTGGAGCAGGCAGCCCCTCCCTGGGGGACCAGGAGCCACACCTGTGGTACCCTGACACTGTCCATGCGGTGGCGGGAGGCCTGGGTGCTGCCCAGAGCTTGACCTTTCTGTAGGAGCCCTGGGGGGCAGCATAGCTGGTTTCAGATACTCTCCTCAGTAAGTGATAAGGCCCTCTGTATCATAAGTAACATGTTATGTTAGGGTCACTCATCCCAGCTCCCCAACACGGGCAGGATCCTGCCTGTCCCATTGTACAGATGTGCAAACACGGGCTTCTGAAGGAAGAAGCACCCTAATCCCACATCGATGTTAGGAGCATCTCCAGAGGTGGAACAGGGCAAGCACACCTTGCACCAGGCCCAAGGCAAGAGACAGTACTGGTCACGGGTGGGGCCACAGTGGCCAACCTCATTACTAAGCCTTGGGGTTCAGCTAGGGCCAGGCCTGGAAACCTCACCTAATAGTGACATTTTGACCAGATGATGTCCCACTAGATTGCCCACCAAGTCGCCTAAGTCCAAAGATCGCCCTCTCTTAGGGACATAACATGTTCTCCTCCCTTCCTGTGTTGAAGCCCTGACCCTCAGGCCCTCCAAATATGGCTGTCTTTGGAGACAGGATCTTTACAGAGGTAATTAAGATAAAATGAAGTCACGGGGTAGACCCTGACCCGATCTGACTGTCCCCTTATTAGAAGAGGCGATCAAGACACAGACCCGCATAGAGGGATGACCCAGTAAGGACACAACAGCTGAGAGCTGAGGAGAAAGGCCCCAGGAGGACCCAGGCCTGGGACACCTTGATGTTGGCTCTCCAACTTTGGGACTTTGAGAAAAGAAATGTCTGTTGTTGAAGCTCTGTCTGTGGGACTGTGTCTGCAGCCCAGCCACTAACCCAGCACCCTTCCCCAGCAACCAACCCAACACCAGTCCCCAGAAACCAACCCAGCCACTAACCCAGCACCCTTCCCCAGCAACCAACCCAACACCAGTCCCCAGAAACCAACCCAATGTCCATCCTCAACAACCAACCCAACAGCAGTCCCCAACAATCAAACCAACACTTATCCCTAGCAACCAACCCAACACCCATCCCCAGAAATCAATCCAACATCCTTCCCTAGCAACCAACCAAACACCCACCCCTAGCAACCAACCCAACACCCTACAACATCTCTGTGCCATTGTACCCTAAACAATACAGTGTAACTATTTAGATAGAGTTAAATGGCATCAGTGTCCTAATTTGTTTCTCTGTTGCTGTTCAGTTTACATCTCCCAGGTCACAGTTCATCACTAAGGGATCCCAAGGTAGGAACTCAGGGCAGGAACCTGGAGGCAGGAGCTGGAGCACAGGCCATGGAGGAACACTGCTTACTGGCTTGCTTCCCTGGTCCCTGCTCAGCTTGCTTCCTTATATAATACAGAGCAAACTGCCCAGGGGTGGCACCACCTGCAGTGGACTGGGCCCTCCCACATCACTCAACAATCAAGAAAATACCACACAGACATGGCCACAGGCCAGTCCAATGGAGGAAATTCCCCAATTGAGGCTCCCTCAACCCAGATGGTCAAGGTGACACTAAACAAAAGCTATTCAGCAGTGCTGGGCATTGTAAGTTGCTCAGGGATGAGTTGAAGTATGTGGATAACACACGTGAACTCAATGCAAGTATCCTACCATTTTATGCAAAGGACTTGAGCCTCTGGACTTTGGTACCTCCAGGGGTCCTCACCCATGCCTGGTGCACTGAGGGATGGTGTCCTGCTCCCCATTAGCACCTGGGCAGGTGGAGATGGGTCAGCCGTGAGAAGGCAGAAAGGAGGATAAAGGACTTCTCACCTCTATGCTCAGAGGCAAAACATGCTTCTGGGACCATGAGAGGGCTGCCTTGATATGGATTCACACAGTGGCGGTCCTGGAGGGTCCTTCAGAGGAGAGAGAGCACAAGAAAAGAAGAGACTATAGAGACAAATTCAAAGAAGATAAATAGATGGTAGATATATGCTCAGAGGCAAAACATGCTTCTGGGACCATGAGAGGGCTGCCTTGATATGGATTCACACAGTGGCG